CTGGAAACAATGATGGCCATGCTGACTTAGTTGTTGGACAATGTAAACTTATTTTTGGCAACAGGCCATTGCTGAGGTCCATCCAAGCTTCTCCTGACAGGAAACAATCTCACTTAGAAGGGCTTCTTAAGAGAAGAGAGGAGCATGTTCAAACTGCTAAAGAAGGGTGGTGTCAAATCTCCTGTCAATCCACTGGCTCTTTTAGGAAGGATCTTCACATTGACAGCTTAGGCCGTGGGTATCAGCTGAATTTTGTCCCCCCCAAATTCACATCATCAAAGCCCTAATCCCCCAGTACCTCCAAATGTGACTATATTTGGAGACAAGATCTTTACAGAGCTAGTTAAGTTAAAATAAGGCCATTAAGGTGGGCCCTAATCCAATTTGACTGGTGTCCTTATAAGAAGAGGAAATTTGGACACAGAGATATGTAAAAGAAAGGTGATGTGAAGACACAGGGACAAAACAGCCATGCATAAGTAAAGGAGAAAGTCCTAGAAGAAATCAGTTCTGCTGACACCTTGATCTGGAATATCTAGATTTGGATTATGAGGAAACAAACTTCTTTTGTGTAAGCCACCCAGTTTGTTGAACTTTGTTATAGCAGCCCTAGAAAACTAACACAGCTGTGATCTCGGCTGTGAGTTCTCATCTTCTTTCATCTTCTGGAGACCACTGGCTCACGTGGACCTTTTTAGGGAGGGAGCTGAAAGTGCTGTCTGAAAGTCTTCTATTTGTGGAAGCAGTTGAAGGGGTTGAAAAAAAAGAGCCAGGATTGTGAGTTCTACAGACTGTGACAGAGTGGATGAGGAGCCCACCATGTTTCTGCCCAAACAGCAAACATATTAATTCTTTTCTCTACTTCTTTTACTTCTGCTTTCATTTTTTTTCTTTTATAAAGTTCCAGCATCCTGTTGGTTAGCCTCTAATCCTAATTATTCAATACAGTTACCTGTACCACCCAGGAAAAGTACATATTAGAACAACAAAAAATAAGTTGAAAGACTAGTGACAATAAATATTCTTTTCCCAACAGAGACCCATAAAGACACAACTCATCTTTAAGTCATATGCATTCCGTCCTGAAATGCCTTTCTCATGGAATATACTCATTTCTCCTACATCTGAAGTAGGTCCCCAAACTTTTCTTCTCATTCTTTCTTCCATTTTCCCCCTACAGCTCCTGGTCATAATGGGAACCATGATCTCCCTGCTTTCCATCTGGCTATATTCTCAGAGCTTCCATTTCCATGTGGCACATTTTTATGCTCACTTTGGGTACCCCAGTGCCCGGTATCTTGTTGGCCAGAGATACCTGAAAGATAACTTTTTGTTTTTGTTTTTTTGATGCTCATCCTACTGGGGGAAGAGAGTGAGGAGGGATTTGCTGGTTAGATTTCTGTATGTTGTAGGTTTATAGAAGATTTTAGCATCAAGCATTGACTGAGTCTCCTTTTCTTTATATCTTTTGGTTTTACCCAGGAGCTGGTGTGATGAAGGATGAAGAGATGGTATTGTATTGATTTAGGTAAGAAAGATGGTACATCTACCACAAGTAAAACTCTAGAATTATCTTTTCAGGAAGTGATGAAATATAAAGCCCTATGATTTGGTGGTTTTTCCCTTGAACAAAAATAAGGTAAAGATCTAAACTCTCTAAACTCTCTATAAACAACTGAGTGCTTCCTGCTATTCTAAGCCAACCGGGACACAGCACATGAGCAGAAGAGAGCTGCCAATCCCACCCAAGATGAGAATTAACTATGGGTCACTGACTGTAAAAATATAGATTAGATATATTTTCAACTGTCAAAGAATGAGATCACTCTAGTTTGTAAGAACAGGGACTAATTTAGTAAATTGCTTTCTATAGGCCATTCACAATTTTATAGCTCAAAATTCTGTATTCCAAATAAAGACATTTACCAAATGAACACTTAGAATCATTGATTATGCATATATTGTTAGTCTGTGAGTTTCTGTGACCTCTACATGGCAAAATAAAAAGTCAAAATATGTTATCAACAGAGAAACTTAGCTATGTTTGATTTACTTTGTGGCATGTGTACTGATTTTTGTTTTCTGAAATTTTTTTTAAGGTATGCTTTGCTGAATAAAAAACAGAAAAAAGCACACACAAAAAAAGAGAATAGAAATAAACAGGTTCTGAGATGTTAGAAACTTCATTTTACATGGAGATTATGGTAGAAAATAAGGACAAATTAGGTGCAAGGCCAAACTCTCTTAATAGAGAGAACTGGCTTTGGGTTTATGAGATCTCAATTTATTCAAAAGCAGAAATCCTCTCAAGTGGAATGTACCTTTTAAAGCTTTATTTTCCAGTATGGCAGCCACTAGCCACATAGGCCACTGAGCCTTTGAAATGCGGCTAATCTGAATGGAGAGGTGCTGTCCATGTAAGATACACACTAAATTTCCAAGCTATCATATGAAAAAATGAATGTAAAATATCTCTTTAGTAATTTTTTATATTGATTACATGTTGAATGATAATGTTTAGATATATAAGGTTAAGTGAAATATATTATTTAAATTAATTTTACCTATTTGTTTTAAAACCTTTAATGTTTCTCCCAGGGAGTTAAAAATTACACATGGTTTGCATTATAGTTCTATCAGATAATAGTGTCCCTTATGATCCTGAGAAGGGTTTGGTTATCTGGGAGAAAATGAGCACAGTTATATCTTTGCTATTGCTCATGTATTGATGAGCTCATCTTTCTCAGATGTTCTCTTTCATCTCTGTAGAATAGTGGTTGACAAATGTGGCTTGTCAAGTTAGAATATTAGATTGACTTCACTGACCAGTAAAAGCTCCCCAGGTGACTGTAATGTGTAGTGAGGTCAAACACTAGAAGTCTACAGTGATTTATAAAGTAAATGCAAACCAGCAGAGAAAGCCATTTTAAGCCAACATGAAGCTTAAAGTGGGTATTCTGATAAAGTTAACCTGTCAACAGAAGAAATACCTTCGAGAATTGGGACAGGAATGGCATGGCTCCAGAGTGGCAAACTGTGGTTGGTGATTAACTACATTTGGCTGAAACCCTTGCAACTGGGAGTGTAGGCCGCACACCCGCAGCTTTAGCCTCACAGGGCACATACTTGTTAGGAATGCAGCCTCTGAGGCCCTAACCCAGCCCTACCGAAACAGAATTTCATTTTAACAAGATTCTAGGGTGACTAGTACGTGCATTCAAGTTTCAGAAGTGTTGCTTGAAACAACGTATTTGTACATGGGACCATCTAACTGAAGGCCAGTTTGAAAAACCTTCCCATCTTTCAGTTATGACCTTCACTGTCAGGGATCGGGTGGGGAAAATGTTACAAAGGCAAGATTTCACTGTGCATATTTTAAAAATAAAATTTATGGTTTTTGATTTACAAAATAATTTATGCCTAATGTGGAAAACATTGAAAAAATTGCTTGTATCCCATAGCACAGTAAAAATAACTTTTGAAAGTTTGATAAATATTCTTCCAGACTTTTTTCAATTAATATATGTATAATATGCTTTAATGTACTGGAAGATTTCACTATTTTATAAATATAAACTTCAAGTCCTTTTCCTAGTTTCTTACTATCACAAACAGCTGTTGGGAAGAGCCTTTTATATACTATCTTTTTGTATATCTGATTATTTCCTTACCCAAAAAAAACCCCCCAAAATGAAATGATCAGGTCAGATGAGGATTGTTCCTAAAGCTTTTGTCCTGAAAGACTGTCAAAATTCTAGTATAAATGCTCTAGTATCAACGCTCATAAACTTATTAATATTGTTTGTAACCATTTGTTAATTTTTGCCAACTTGAAGATGTCTTCATTTAATTTTTTTCATTTATACTAGCTGTGAAGTTGACAATTTTTTTTCTACTTGTCTATTGTAATTTTAATTTTTTTGAGAATTGCTTATTCATCTAGTCTGTCTATTTTTCCACTGGATTTTATTTTTCTTACTCATTTTCCAAAATTTTTATGCACTAAAGATAGCAAACTTTTGTATATTTTCTTGTACTTCTGAGAACATTTTTTTCCTAATCAGTCATAGTTAATATGAAAAGAACTGCAAGTAACAAGGTAATAGTTCTATAATGTGTACTGTCTAATATGATGACCATTAACCACATGCGACTATTTACATTTAAATAAATTAAAATTAAAAATTCACTTCCTAGTTGCACTATCCAGATTTTAAGTATTCAATACAGTGGGTACTGTATTAGATAGCAAACAAACAGAACATTTCCATCTTTGGAGAAAGTTCTGGCATATTACATTTATATATCAGCAACTGGAAATAGTGTGTTAGGATCAGGTTAAATGTTACTAAATTCCTAACATTCCCAGATAATACTTTCTTATATTTTGATTTCCTCTATATTTTGGAGAAAAGGGTATAATTTTACTAATATTTATAAAAGCTGATGAATGGGTTTGGGGCAAATGAGTAATTAGTTTTTTAAAAGTACTGTACTTGTTTCAAGTAAGAGAAACATTTTTAATGAAAGAGGCTAATTAACATTTGCCTACATATGTGAAAAGATGAATGTAATGGTTTCCAATAATGGTTACATATATATTTTTAAAAATATGTCTTTATTGATTTCAGAGAAAGAAAGGGAGAGGAAGAGAGAGAGATAGAAGCCTCAGTGATGAGCCATCGATAGGCCGCCTCCTACATGCCCCCTGCTGGGGATCGAGCCCAAAACCTGGGCATGTGCCCTGACCAGGAATCGAACCATGATCTCCTGGATCCTAGGTCGATGTTCATCCGCTGAGACACTCAAGCCAGGCAGTTACATGTTTTTTATTGGCATTGCCCCTGGTTTTATTAAGGGGATACTTTTTCACAGGATTGTTTTCTTGTTTTTTATTGCATACTCTCCTGTACCTGCCATCACCTGCCCCTTTTCCTTTTCCTTTCTTTTTCAGACGAGCTTCCCAGCAGTCCCTTTAACCTTGCAGTAAAAAAATTGAAAAACGTGACTGGGTCCATGGAAGTAGGGTAATGAAATTAGCTGTCTTTTTTCCTTCCAGCTGATGTGTTATCCCTTCTAAACCTGTCCCCATATATTATCTGAAATTGACAGACAAAAGCATATTACATGTAGCTCACTTGTTACTCTTTTGTTTTTACGTACTTGCATTGGTATGAGTTATGATAAGAGTCACAAAGCAAGGGAATTCAAGATTCATATACGTGCATAGATCCCACTGATTAAGTTCTTAAGGCATTCTGTGAGCCTGAGAGGAAAGGGTAGGTTATTTCATGGTCTTAATAGTCTCCCGTGAATTTCTAAGGCTTCCTGGAGTCCCATCCTTACATCCTTATGGTAATTTCTTATACACAGAGTAGCACATGTAAGAATACAGGTAGATAGCTCTCTTTGGACACAAATTTCCCCTGTGTCTTTTGGACTAATCTTTTTCTGATGACTCATAGTCATCCAGAGAAATACTACTGCTTTCTCTGGAGAAGTCTTTCTTAATGTTTTTTGAATAGTTTACAGTCTGTGACATTTTCATGCAGCTATTTTGAGTCAGAGACATTTTGATAGGGCCCCCAAAATAAACCATTAAACTTTCAGCTTTTTTTTTTTTAAGTAATGCAGCTGGCATATACTCCATCATCAAGTGATGTGTACGACTTCTTCCTCCAACTCCCTCCCTTAATCTACTGCAGGCTGAGGGGTAGACAAGGTTCAGAAAGAGGGCATCTCAGCAAGAAGCTGAAGGATGGGTGAGTCTTGGGGATGATAACAGTATAGTACTCAGGGATATTGGTCGCATGCATTACTTGGTAATGAAATTTTGAAATAACCATTTTGAGGCAGCCAAGTCAAAACAGCATAGTCAATATGTTTTCTTTTACAACTGATGGTTGGCAGTTTTACAGTTGACAGTGGGCAGATTGAATGGAGCCCCTCTCCAGTTACCACTCCCAAACCAAAATGTAGAATTTGCTTGCAAGAAAGGGATGTCTCAGACATTACCTAATAGTCTTGGCTAGAACAACTCCCCCAAATGGGGCAAAAGAATCCATCTGGACTCTGGCGTTGCTAAGGCTATTTCTTTGAGCGGCTATGCTTTTATTAGGAAGACATCCCTGATGAAACCCAGATGAAATGACATGTGTTTCCCTCAGTACCTTAGAGTGAGTCTAAACAGGTGTTAACCTGGCCCATAGCCTAAACACTTGGACACGCAGGTGCTTTCGGTTTACACTTTCTTTACACCACTAAACTGCCTCTCCTAGGGACCTAGAGCTGCTCCTTCATATTGCTCAAGACAGGGGATCCAAGAGGCCCAGGAACTCCTGGGGAATGTTATTTGGACTAAAAGTAAGCCCTTGCCAATTAAAAGAATGGAGAGTTTTTATAAACTAGAACATGTGTCCTGAATGCTCTTCCTGGAACACAGGATGTTTCACTCTCAATGGTCCAACGGTGTCCTTGCAACGCGTGTGGAACTTTTAATGGAAGCTGCTTTCAGTTATAGTTTTATATGCTGCTGTGTCATCAACTTGCTGTTCAAAATCACTTAAGTGAGGTGTTGCCTATATGTTTGCCTGAGATCCAAGTTTGACCTCTTCTTGGAGGAGTATTTGATTTGAACATTACTGCTCCCCTCAGCTAAGTTTCAAGTCAGTGAGCATTATATGAAGTGGTGGGAGGAAGAGAGGAAAGAAACCTGTCACATCAGAGAACTGGCTTCTTTGATGTGTTCGTTGGCACCCACAGATCCACTGAAGGAGCTAAAGTTGTCATTAGCCCAAACTATGACATGTGGTGTTCTGCTTAAAATAAACTTTTTCCATGTCTCTACATTTCCATTTTCTGCTCTATTAAGCTTCTATGGTATTTTATTGTATTCACTTTTTGTATTACAAAAAGTCCTTTATGGGGAAAAATAAAAAGGCTGTGAATGTTGTCAACAAAAGGAAAGTGGCTAACGTGTAAGAGCTCACACTTACTGAGCACCTGCCACATGTAAGGTATTTTCCTAACTGCTTTAGAAGTATTTTAGCATTCTTTAGTTATAAAAGCCTTCTGAGGTTAGTAGTATTATTCCCACTTTACAGATGTGGAAACAGATGTAGAGAAGTTAAGTAATATATCCAGGGTCATGAAGTAAGTGGTAGATTGCGATTTGAACCCCTTAACTCGTTCTACTAACTTTACTCTCTTGAACTATTAATATCTCCTTTCTAACAACACATTCAAAGAGCAGGTACTTGGGTTTATTCCTAGAACATAGTGAGGACTTACCTCAGCCACATTTCCTAACTGTATTATTTTTTTGAGCATAAAACACATATTCTTGTTCTTCCACAGAAGTGTTTTTAATCTTAAATATAGTTAGTTAAATGTATTGCAGTCATATGATCACACAATTCTCTCCTGTGAATTCAGAAACATGATGCGAGGATGACAAAGTGTCAAACTAGAATTCAGTAGAATGCTTAAGCTGTGTTTAAACTACTTGTTTCACTTTTAAGTTGGAGCATCAAGTTTACATGTATGACCGAATCACAGGCAATCTCCTCTTTGTCCACACATGAACACATAAACTTCTAAGGACATGGATAAAGTGGTCAAAAAATTTTTTTCTGCTTTCATATTTTAGGAAGAAATTTAAAACTCTTTAATGTAGAAAATCCAAAATCTGTAAACTAAAATTTTCACTTGAATATTTAAAGAATTGTTGTTATCCCTAGAACCCCTTCAGATTTTCTTACATTTTTCCAGAGGACATAGTTTTTATTTCAATCTATGTCATTTGAGATATAACACTGGAAATTTTATCCTGAGCCACACTTACTCATTTGCATAATACTAGAAAAATTGTTTCAATCCTCAGATAAATGATCATTTTTTACCTCTATGGTACCGACTCTACTGTGTTGCATTTAAAATAATATTTCAAAGCCCTGTTTACACTGATGACCAAAACCTTCCATTCTGAGATATGCCGTAGGAATACTCACCAGTTGGTGGGGGAGTGCCAGGTGGAGGGGATCAATGGGGGGAAGAAGGGGGACATCTGTAATACTTTCAACAATAAAAATAAATTAAAAAAATTCCTTCGGGTGCCTTCTATAAACATCTTTAACTAACATTGATTTAGGTTGTTTTAGAGTGATAATATGCCTTCTAAAAGTTCTTTGTTGCTGAAATAAAGCAATCGAAATAATTGAAAAAGCATACCTATAATTAGAAAGACTGCGGGACTCACTGTTAGACCCTCCCATTTAGCATTCACACGGCTCCAGTGCTAACCAGGCCCGAGCACCTGCCAGTCCACCCGGGTGGAGCCCAGCCTTGCTTCATGCCAAGGCATAGAGGGAAATGGACCAGCATTCCCCGAATCCAAAGCTCTGCTTCTGCCTTTTCTTTCTGTAGCTGGGAAAGACTGGAGGGGAGAAAAAGCAAGAAATAAGAAAGAAATTGGAGGGCGGGAGGGATGGGGGAGAGAGGGAAGGAGAGGGAGAGGAGAGGCGCTCAGAGATACCCCGGGTTCTGCTGGCTCCCTCCTTCCCCTGCTCCTTCCAGGGCGCAGCGGCTGAGGCTCACGGTGCCTTTCTGTATGCCTCCGGTTTCCTGTTTAGCTGCTTTGATGTCTTGGCCCCTTTTTTTTCTCCAGGCCAGTCTGCATTGATGTCAATATAAAAAATATTTTATGTTAAAGTATGACATAACATTTACAATATGCAAATCTTAAGGCAAGAACTCTGAATTCTTCATACGCTGTATATCACCTTGGGAGCACTGCTCAGGTGAAGAGGTCGATTTCTAACACTCCTTCCTAGGCAGTACCCCCGGGGAACTACTCTCCCGATGTCTATCACTATGAATTAGTTTCGCCTGCTTGTGACTGCTGCCGTATTTGTTTGGAAATTGGCTGTAAACACTCTAGTGTACAGCCTCTTGTGTCTGGACTCCTTCGCTCCTGCTGTTTGTGAGATTTATCCTTGTTGTTGCCTGCAGTTGAGGTTAGTTCATTCTCATTTTGTGCACTATTTCACTGTGCGATTATACCACAATATATCCTTTCTCCCTTTGGTGGGAGTTCAGGTTGTTTCCAGTTTCTGGATATTATGAAAAAAGTACCTGTGACCATTCTTGTACATGTCTTTTGCTGGATACAAACCCTCATTTCTTTTGGATATATACCCAGGAGTGGAATTGCTGGGGGATACAAGCATTTAGCGTTAGGTAGTTCTGCCAAGTGTTTCTGCAAAGTAGCTGTGGCATTTTACTCTCCCACCATCAAATTGTGAGATTTTCAGTCTCTCCACATTCTTGTCAACAAACACTTGGCTTTGTCAGTCTTTAAATTTAAGCTCTTCTAGTCTGTGAAGTGGTATCTTATTCTAGTTTCAATTTGCATTTCTCTGATGAATAATAATGGGGAGCGCAACTGTTAGGAATTGTTTGTGATGAGGGGTTGGGTACACAACGCGGCATGTACTGCATTTAAGGTCTCAGAAGGAGCCAGTGTGTGATTTCCTGGAGGTGAGCTCTGTGGTGCAGCCACATTCTTAGAGGCAATGTACTAAGCTGGATGCAACTGTTAGAACATTTTTTGAAATTCTAAAGTTCCCACGTTAAAGAAACTTGATAAGTGCCTTCCCAATATTGACCACAATCCTAAAAATTTATATGAAATTAGCAATAATGAGTTGTGAAGCTAAAAGCAGCTTTATTAGATTATCAATAAAAGAATTGAACAGCCCTGCTTAAAGAGATACTAAAGTTCTTCTACTCTCTCTATAGAAATTATAAAATAATTTTTATATAAAAGGTGCTCAAAGACAAGTAAGTCCAAAAAATGGGGGTGGGGAGTAGGGGAAGATTACTAGAAGTGTGTCAGCAAGTTAATACAATTATTGTTTTTCTGGATGTTTGTTGTATTTGTCAGTTTTTATTTTTTTATTTGTTATGATTTCTCTTTTTATTCCTTGATATATTTGTACTCATTTTTGAATTCACAAGTTTGCATTCT